CCACCCTGAAGATCATAACAAATACGAAAATAAAATAACTTAATTACCTCAGTCAGCCATACTTGCAACTCACACATACTTCATGAGATGTTTAATTCGACTTACAATATAAACGAGCACTCAGAATATTCTTCTCATTTCGACAGTAGATAATAAAACAAACTATTAATCTATTGATTTATATCATTTATATAAACATTTCTATTAATGATAAATGGATTCAAAAAACGTTTCCTTTTTTTCCTAACTTTACAGTAAAGTCTTCATTTGTCACATTTATATAAATGATAAATAGATTTAAAAAAAAACCTTCGTTTTTGCTTTTCTTAACCTACAGCAAAGTGTTCATTTAACACATTTATATAAATGAGAAATCGATAAAAGAAAAATTTTCTGTTTTGCCTTTACTAGCCTACAGTAAAGTGTTCATTTAACACAATTGTATGAACGAGAAGTCGATAAGAGAAAAATTTTCTGTTTTGCTTTTACTAACCTATCACGCTAAAAAATGGGTATTTGTTACTATCGGAAACTCTTTTAGCGTTTCCAAGCTATTCAAAAATCCTAAAAGAATTTCCGATAGTAACAAATATCAATTTTCTTTTAGAGTGCAATAAAGTGTTCATTTGGCACATTTGTATAAATGAGAAATCGATAAAATAATTTTTATAGTTATAAAGTGCGCCGATGAATTTCTTTTTCCTTTCATTTGTATTATAGGTCGAATAAGGCAAGTACTCACATACTCATGTTTTAGAAAAAGATTAAAAGAAAAGTTTTTGAATACTGTTTTATTAGCGGACAAAGGAATGATTTATATAGTAATGATGATATGTCAGTATATATACTTACACCAACGATTTTTTCCTGACATGTTGTTTTTTTATCAGTAATATTATTCGTTTATTAGTTAATAAAGTTCGCTCAATACAACTAAACGAGATCTAAACTTCTGAAGAAAAGTAAAGCTATGTTGAGTAAGATCGTCTTATACTGACTACTGAGCAACTCAATATAATATCACTTGTTGAAAGTATGTTTATAAAAACATAATGAATAAAAGATGTATGAAGAGACTGATGTGCTTTAATACAGCAGTCCGTAGTAGTACTACTGCAGCGGATGATAGAAAGAGTTGAGTTTTGTTCTAATTAAATATTAGCAAAGAACAATATTACTTTTACGGAACTTTTAGAATACTAAAGCATCACTTACAAGAATCCATTAATGGCATGTTTAAAGACGCTAAACACGCACTAAAAGCATTGTTGCTATGACTAGCATACTTCTGGTTAGAATTTAGCTTTACCTATCACTAGAAGAAAGATTTCTCTTCGCTGTAAATCCCTGGATATTGACAATAAGTAGCAAACCTAAATTTTTATTTTTTCATTAGCCATAATATATACGCATTCTAATTATTACTCATCTGCCACCACCTGGCAGTAAATAGTAATACCGACTATGTATTTGAGACTAGTTTATTTGTTCAATCAATAATAGTTGTTATTTCTCTCGTTCAGATATTTTCATTAAATCAAAGTATTATAGAACAAGAAATTAACCAATTGTCACTAACTATCAGTATTAACACATTAGTATTACCATTCGTCACTAACTGATAATTAGTGAGTGACAACGCGTATCACACACTTTCTACAAAATAGTTATGCAAATTTTTTTATTTTAATCATTTTCCATGAATGACGCAGAATGAAAAATTGTTGTTAAAAGTCATTTTTTATGAAAAAAACGAAAAAGAGATGTTTTTAACTTTTTTTTTTCAGTCTACCTAAAAATAAACTGTGAAAATGAAAAATAGTTAAAAAGAGGAAATTCTACAGACAAACGCCTTATAACAACAAAAACGCTTTTTAAACACGTTTAAACGCTGTTTTTACCGTTTGATGTTTGCCTGGGTCAGAGGGGCTTCTTTTATGGCAAGGAGTTTAAGAAAAGAATTAAAATCAAAAAAAATGAGGAGAGAATCCTAAAAATCAGCTCCTGAATTCAGGAGAAAAGTTTCAAAATCAGGAGGTTTGACAACCCTGTTCTTGACGAGTCATTGTCATCTTCGAACCTGACTGAGATACCGATGAGACAATTCTATGCACAACATTTCATCATAGTCGGCCCATATAGCAATGTGTGGCGTTCATTTACCAAACACTTAGCGTCATTGTAGATTTTACCCAGTACACGGGGTTGAGTTCAGGGCCACTAATCTTAAGGGTGATGGCTGAGAGATGAAGGAAGACCGTGACTATATTTTCCTCATTCCCACCCTTCGTTCTCCTTGATATACTCAACTTTTTAATAATTGTTTTCGACAAAATGTTCGGTCGACGATATGCTTCGTCGACCAAATGTGTTGTTAACAAAATATTCATTTGACAAATATTTTTGACAATCTCACTTTCAGTGGAAATCTGTTTGACACGAAATATATAGGCCACAAAACATATTTCGTTAAATAATTAGATCAAAACACGATACATAACGTCCGTAAAATTTTGTTTCTTGAATTAACATGGCCACTGCTCTTCTACCAAATGATGATTTTTACAAAAGTACTAATGTTAAGTCTCTGGAAATATTCTCTCTTATTTGGCTCGATGCAAATGTAGATGTTAAAGGCACTCGAGACACAGAAGTAAAACTACGTTCTATTATTAATCATATCAAGAAATTTCAAGATATAAACGAATGTCAAAAATATATTCAACAAACATCACAAAAAGATCGATTAGTAATTATTGTTAGTGGTCGATTGGGAAGAGAAATAGTCTCTTCAATTTATAAACTTCGACAAGTTATATCAATTTATGTTTATTGTACAGATAAGAAAACCAATGAAAACTGGGCTTCAAAATTTTCAAAAGTAAAACCACCTAGAATAATATCATTTTATTTATCCTTTTTTTTGCTTTTACAGGTGAAAGCTGTTGTCGTTGACCTTGATGAACTCATTATTCAAATCAAAGAAAATCACAAAATCCAAAAAAAGCTCGAAGAACCATTATTATATAAAATTTATACAACAAGTGCTAGTGCAGGTCAATCAACAATGAACGTTGATGGACAATTTGTTTTTTCTCAAGTTCTTATCGATTGTCTTTTACGATTGAAATCTAATGAAACAGACAGAACTGAACTGTTTGATTCTTGTAAAAATCAATATGAAGATAACCACACAGAACTAAATAATCTGCATGAATTTAAAAAGGATTATTTACCTAACAAAGTCTTATGGTGGTACACAAAAGAAACATTCTTCTATAAAACTCTTAATGCTGTATTGCGTGCACAAGACATTCATATGATTTTTTTATTTCGTGAATTCATTTCTGATATTTGTCAACAATTACAAAAATATCAATCTAACAATTCGCTAAGAGTTTATCGAAGTCAAATGATGGCAACTGATGAACTTGAAATGCTAAAACAAAACATTGGCCAACTTATTTCTATTAATTCATTTTTTTCCACTAGTACTGACTATTCGAAAGCCGTCTCATTTCTTAATTTTTCTGATGCTTCAGAAGGTTTAGAACGAGTATTATTTGAAATATATGCTGATCCAAAGATGGCCACTACAAAACCGTTTGCTGATATTAGCCGACATAGTTATTATCCTGATGAATCAGAAGCGCTCTTTATGATTGGCTCCATCTTTCGTCTTAAAAGTATTAATCGTAATGATAAACAAATTTGGATCATTGAAATAACTTTATGCAGTGATGATGAATATGATTTAAAACAAGTTCTTATGTATATGAAACAACAAATTGGAAGTGGAGAAACAAATCTTCGAACATTAGGAAAAGTATTATGGAAAATGGGTAAACTTGATTTAGCTGGAAAATATTTTAATCGTTTATTAAATGAACTTCAACCAAATGATCCTTTATTAAGCATATTATATGAAGATCTTGGTGAGCTGGCATCACTGAGAGGAGACTATAATGCGAGTGTTCGTTGGCATAAAAAATCACTCAAACTTAAACACCCGAGGCAAATTATGGACATGATTAATATGGAAGCGCGAAGAAGTTCTATTAGTAAGTACATTGAGAAAGAATATATCATTTTGAAAGAGTACTATATAAAAATGAATATTTTATTAGCAAGAACGCACATTGACGGGCCACTAGGGGGCAATTGGTAGAATATCATATCAAAAAATAATTTTTATATCGAAAAAATTTCGAAAATAGCACAAAGTCAGATAAAAACTGTTTACAGTAAAACCTATTTAAAATAAACAATAACGGGACTTTTTACGAAGTGTTCATCTCATGAAGGTTTCGTATTGTATGAAATCTTCTATGCGTACAGTGTCCGGGTGTGGGTATGTGTGTGGGCGTGGGTGGTGAGTGAGCTAAGAATATGATGTGAGCACATGATCTTTCTCCACACACACACCCTCAAGATAACCATTCTTGTTTTTCGTCTCGCAAGATTCACTGAATTCGATAAAATTATAAAATTTGATTCATATAATTTAGGTGCACTTAGGTCAAAAGTTGGAAAACGGATTTCATGGACGCGATGGAAAAAAGCTCAATGGTGTGTTTTAGTAGCTATTAAACGTAAGTCAATTAAAACCGAAAAAAAGTTCTTGTATTTTTTAAAAACTGATTTTGATGCTTTAGTCAGAAATAAAATTCTTTATCGACGTCAGGCTTTCATTATTATTCAAAGTCATATTCGTATGTATTTGGTTTATAAACGTTATGCATCACGGTACATATCAAACTTTTGGAAGATTTATTTATTACTATTAGTTTTATTTCTTTTTTTCCAGAATTCAGGGTTTAATAAAAGTTAAAGCATTATATGAACAATTTGCTGCAATAGAGAAAATTGTTAGACAAGTAAAATTTAATAAAGAAATGTGCAAACAAGTTGAACAACTAAGACAACAAATTCATAAATTAATTACTGAAGTTACAGTAAGTTTCTTTTAAATACATCGAAATAAAATAATAGAAAGTCGTACAAAGAATAAGTACAAAATCATTAATGTTCATCTTATAAAATTCGTATCTCATAAATCTTACATAATTAAAATGAAGATTATAACAATACGTCTACTTATTGTCAAGATTCAAAAGTTAATGATCAGGGCTGCAAATTAATATCTGTACCGATATAGATTGATCAGGAATTTACATATTTTTGTGTTTCTGTACAGAAGTTGTGTTCAAAGTGCAAAATGTGAAAGAGTATTGGTGAAGCTTGGATACTTTCGGAGACAGTTATTTTTAATAACATATGGTTTTAGTTAGTTAGACTAGTATGATGAGTTCCAGTCATGATCAAAGTCGATACTTGATTAGAACTGTGTAGAGATACTGTAGTTGACACAAACCGTACTAACTTTTTTCTATTATAGACGACTATACTGAGTACTTCCACGCAACACCGTCTACTTTTTACCGAACATTCTTCCGGCACGGTTTACGTATGCTAGTCTTGTAGCCCTTGGCTAGTTGTGTAGAAATTTGTATTTAGTTTTGTCTGAAATCATGCGCTAACTGCAGGAAAGAAGACACAAAAGTCGATTCTATTGAAACTGGCCCTCAGAATCCGCCTGTTTTATTCTTCCTAAATAGTAGCTGGAAATTTTTGATCTAACCATTGGAAAGAGCATAAAGATCTGTCTTTTCAAAACAATTTTCAGAACTATATCCGTATAATCCATTGTCGGGGAGCATTTCGAAATTTGAGAAAAATGACTTTCCATGTAAAAACATGTTCCTTATTCAATTTGAACAATCAATCGCAGTTTTCAACATTTATATTCACAATGAATCCTACACTATGCATATACAAACGCAAAATATTAGATCTCTCAAAAGGATTCCACACTGTAGATATGTGGGTATGAAGGAGCCGGGATCTCCAAAAATCGTATATTGGGACCAGATTTTCTCAAAAAACTACACGTCACAGTCTGTTGAAAGTTTTTTTGTGAATAAACCTCAATGAGTACTACTAGTTGTTAAAATATCAATCTCCTCATTTCCGAATTGTAAGAAATAAAGTTCTGTCAAGTCAGTATAAATTTTGTGTTTTCATAAAATCCCTGAAGCAGATCCCAGATTTACGAAAAGTCGAATTTTAGAAGTGAGATCCGAAACTTTGCGTATGTAGAGACCTCAACTAGGCTAACTTGGATAGAAAAATTCAGACCTTCTGAACAAGGCGTCGCCAATATCTTGAGAGTGTGGGTGTGGGTGGGTATGAATGACGGCTGCGTACTGGTATATTATCCCTACATCCACACCCGCACCCATCCTCAAGATGCATGAACATATCCTACTTGCTATAGAAGCATTTTTTTCATCTATGAAAAAGAGAAAATCCTGTTTTAGTTTAGAAATAAGCGTTTTTACATACATTAACTCAATTTTTAGTCAGTTTCAAATTTGCTTTTGATTAGCAGAACATTGAAAATCTCTCAAAATAAATATCGACCAATAAAAGCACAATTATACAGAATTAAATCTTCTATTTAGAATACATCAATAACTTCAACACAAATTGAAAATGCATGTAGTGACCTAGGTGCATCCATTGATCGTGCATTTCGTAGATCAAAACAAGTTCTTGTTGAACAAGAAATAGAAAAAGAAGAACGTTTAAAAAGAATTCAAGTAAAAGAAAAATAAAAGAACAACTTCGGCATTTTTTACTTAATATGAAAAATCTGAAATATTTAGATGGAACTCGAACGTGAAAAAAATAAAGAACTTGCTATAGAAATGAGAAAACCTTTCGAACAAGAAAAAGAAGAATTTCGACAGTACAAACATTTTCTTTTAGCTTTCTATTAGTTTCTTTCTTTTCGATATAGAAGTTCAGCTATTGCTCAAGATCAAAAAGAAGGACAGTTTAAAAGCAAATTAACTGCGGAAGAAACAAAACAGCAAGTAAAATTAAAAGAAGAATATTATTAGTGAAAAATACATAAGAAAAATCTTTTCAGAAAGAACGTCAAGCAAAAGAATGCGATAAGGAAGCTCGTTTAACTAAAATAAATGAACGTGAACGTCGTGATCATGATTTAGCACGACATATTGCTTTAGAAACAGGTAGTGAAGCTGATTTACCATGCCCCCATCGATCACGTCGTCCTGTTATTAAGCAAGAATATGATTTAACTAAACATTCATATGCTGAATTACGTGATATACTTAATAAATCTTGTGGTAAATAAATGAACCGCGAAGGAAAACGACAACCTTTTTTATCATTCATTTATATTTGAACTACGTAGATCTGGAATTGCTTGATGCATGTAGGGAAGAATTTCATAAACGTTTAAAAGTTTATCATGCATGGAAAGTAAAAAATCGAAGAGCAAAGAAATCATCAGCTTTAGATGAAAAATTAGATGAAGTTGATGAACAACGAGCTCCACAGGATTTTTTAAATAATGGTAAGCTAAACTATTTATAAGGTATGAAATGACTTGAACATATACTGATATGGAACCGTTAAAATTCTAAGTCAAGACACTCTTCAAGAAGAATCGATTTTCTAGATATAAAGAATAATACTTCAATCAAAACTAGTTAATTATTTTAAAAAAATCTAGCATACATCTTGAAAACTTATTAAAAATTTATAATCTTTAGTTTTAATTCGATAAGATTTTTATTTAGAAATCAGTGATCCAATATCAATGAATCGTGGTGCGTCAGCATCTGATGAAGCAATTCAAGAAGGTAAACTATCAACAATAGCATTTCTTAATTCAAGTAAAGATACCGATGTTAAAGGATCTGAACAACGTTATTTTTGTATACCATTTGTTCGTTCTAATGATCAAAATCGAGATACAGATAATGAGCAAAAAAAGGAAGGATGGTGGTATGCACATTTTGAAGGTAAGATTAGATATTTATTTTCATTGTTGAGAAATAGATTTCTCAATTTGGTTAGGTAAATGGATTGTTCGTCAAATGGAAATTCATCCAGATAGAAAAGCTGTCCTTCTTGTTGCAGGTGTTGATGATACGAATATGTGTAAATTAAGTTTAGATGAAATATGTTTAACATCCAGAAAAGGTGCAGAAATTCTTGAAAGTGATTTTGAACAAAAATGGCTTGAACTTGATGGAAAACAATATTTAGAATCAAGTTTTGAACGAATTCGTTCGAAATATGTTGTTCAGCTACTTCAGAAGTACCGTTAAAATTATTTATCAATTTATGAACCCAGTGGAAACAAAACCAAATTCTCTTTTTTCCTTGTAGTAAAATGTATCTTGTCTTTGACAAAGTATGACAGACATATACAGCTCTATTTGTATCGTTGTTGTTGTGATGCTATGTATTTTTAATCTGCCCAGTTGTTTCTTTTTTCGTGAGGATGAACACAAAACTACTTAACAAAAAAAATCAAATCGAATAAGGGATGGGTGGGCGTGGGCGTGTGTGTAGGTGTTGGTGGATATAGATGAAGAACAAAAATCCATACCCATATCCATCAACACCTACACTCACATCCTCACGCACACCTTCACGACGCATTTGAACTGAAGTTGGATATTAACATAGACACATATAACAAGAAAAATCCTAAAAGGGAACGTAAATTTGCTCTATATTTCTTATATAAAATAGATGATATAGAGATAACAGTAAGACTGCATTTTATGCGTTCGACAGTGTTGCTTGCATTTTATCATTCCGACGATGCTTTCAAACATTTTTTCTATTTATCTCTGGTTATTTTTAATGAATTCTGAACTCGGGTAGCAAGCCGAATATAGATATACAACAGTTTTGAATAATATCTTGTTTTTTATTCGAAGCTGCTATTTATCATATAATACAAAGTATGCACAACAATCATATGTTTTGCAAAACCTGGGTGTGGGTGTTGGTGGGTGTGAATTTGACTGAATACAACATGGACCTATACTCACACCCACAATGAGAGTTTATTCAATTAAAATCTTCCTTAGGTTATATGTGATATCAAATATCTTGTTTTCTAATTCGTCGATTGATGATAAAATAAAAGAATCATCTCTCATACTATATCTGATAATATTTGTATTAACATTAGTTTCATCATTAATTTCAATTGTTTTTTATTTTCTTAGTGAATCTCGAAATTCAGTTGGCGATTATTTTTTTTATTTATATAAATATAAAAAACAAATAACATATTTATTAGAATGTGATATATGTGTTGAACATTTGAAAAATAGAAAAGATTTGTTTCGTTGTGGTTTTAAATTTCAATTAAAACCAGTTTTATTTTCAAAAAGAAAAAGCATAACGACTGTTTACGACAAAAGAAAAACGACAACTGAAGAAAAAAAAAGAAAACAAACAAGGTCATTCACGAAGATGACTATATATTAACCATCGATATATAGATGGCGATCCTGACAATATTTATCTTAGTTATCTTTATTTGACATTTGTTAGCTAGCTTCGTCGAGCTGATGTTTATTTCAAAAGAAAAATCACTCTTTCCTATTATGGATGAGTTTTTTATAAACTAAAATTTTTCCAGTAATTAATTCTTCTTCGATGAAGTTAAAATGAAGAAGATTGCGTCACGGCACCAATGTTAGCTCGCTTCGTCGAACTGATGTTTATTTCAAAAGAAAAATCACTCTTTATAACATACACACATACACGCTTATATACGTACATAGAGAGAGAGAAGAGATAGAAAAGATATATATTCCGGGGGAGAATCTGTTTGTTATTCTCCCCTAACAACATTTATATTGGCATTCTTGTTCTTTTACCAAAAGTTATCATTGTAAGATAACTTATTCAAGCCAAATTTAAAGATGAAAGTTGGTATTTAATTAGAGTTTTTTCTTTTGGAATATTTTTATTAATATGAATAAGTAAACTTGTTTCTTCTTGTAGGTAATAGAACATCTTGTTTTTATTCATCATAAAGTTATTAGAACTGAATAAAACAAGATAACGTGAAGCAGCAGTTTTTATTATAACTTCAATCTTATAAATACTACATGTTTAAATCAGATAGTACTAAAATTCAATAATTACTTTTCATGTGTATACGACTACGACAATAAACATAGAAAGCTGTTTTTGCAGTAATAGCTTCAACATCCTTTCTTAAGTAGCCTATTTTCAACTTGATTATTGTTTCATCCTCTATTTTTGCATCATTCCCATGTCAAAGACGTACGGTAGGAAACGACCGGATTCCGTGATTTTCCTAAGCATTCCGTGGGAAAACACGGGAAATTCATAGGAAAATGGAAGCAGTATTCCGGTGATCGGATCCGGTGACCGAATCCGCTCGGTTCCGTCCGGAACTGATGTCAGGAGGAAATTCCGGGCATTTTCCGGCAGGGTTTCTGCCAGAAACGGTGAGTTTCCTGAGGGTTTTCACCGGAAGTTCTGGGAATACTGCTTCAGGAATCATCGTCTTGCGTTCTTTTCAACCACAGCAGTATCGGCATTAACTAGTTCACGTTCTTGTTCAAGCGTATTTATCTAAACAAAAACATTAGAGACTTTAAAAACAAGCATAGTTATCTTGTTTTTACTTCATGAGTAAAATCGTCATTGCCAATTTTAATATCACCAGCGGCCGCCATATTCACCAACACGACAATATATATTTCCGAAAAAAAGTACAATCTAAAAATAAATAACCTTTAGTAACATAGAAGCAATAGTAAATAAAAAATATAATTCTAAATATACATATATACAAATTATAAGAGAGATTACGTACTAGTTATTCGAACAAATAAAATTAAATGGAGAATAACTCATGTCCAGACGAAGGTATGAAGAACGCGCTCTGAATCAAAGAACGTATCAAAGTGCGTTCTGAACGTGTCGCAACGTGATCGACAGAGATCATCCGTTCCCCAACGCATTACATTTAATTTTGTTGAATGAAACAAGAAAATTATTTATAATAAAATCAAAAATTAATAAAAGTATTGTAAATGATACAAAATTGTAATTTGATTTTGAATTTTAAATTAATAATTTTTATATAAATAATTCTAGATGTTATTGAATATAATTAGAATAATGTTTATAAAAAATTAGTTTTATTTATTTTTTCATTTATAAAAATTGATTAGTAATAAATTATAAATAAGATCATCGTTACGTATTGTTGGCTCCGTAAAATTTATCATATATTATTCCTTGTATATTTCTTGTTTTGTACAATGATCTTGATTACATATTTTCTAATGAAAACTTTCCAATCAATAACTAGACATCTTACAGTCGAAATATATTTGTTAAAAAGAATATTAAAATAATAGAATGTCAAAACATTTTTATTTTTTGCTAATAGCAAAAAGAGAAAGGATACCTCCGAAAATGCGAATAAATATATTGAAGTTTGACTTCTATCGTATATTTTGATTATCAATTATCTGATTTTCAATCAATATGATATCCGATATATTGAATCTAATAATTTTATGTTGAAAATTATTAGTACCATCATAACAAACAAAATAAAAGCGATTAGTTTATGTAGATACAAAGAATTAGCATAAGATTTTTAAAGTAAAATAAGTAATTAATAGAAAATTCTCCATAAAAAAAACAAGCCATTATTGAATAGGTTTATATCTGAATATAGATCACTTATTACAAGTTATACACTATTAATCCTTTCATTGATTTCATCATACATATTAATATATTAAATGAACATTACCATTTAATAAGTCTGTTTAAGTAATACAAAAAGAATTTGATCAGCAACACGGATAACTATCGTTATTTAAGATTTTCACTATACGTTAATCATATGATGATCATAATTAAAATTATATTCAAGTAAATTATTCATTTCCATTGCTTTTTATTTTCTTCATGGATTTCAGAATTCAATTCAAGATTATTCTTTTTATTTATATAGATATAAAAAAAATAACGTGACGCAGCATGCAGTTTTTATTGCAGTCCCAGTCCTACAAATAGAATGTTTTTATATTATATAAAATTAAAATCGAATACTTACGACGGTAGTGTACTTTTCTTCGTGTGTATGTGTAAAATGCGACCATAGCAATTATTGCTTCAATTTCTTTTTGCATGTAAACTACCTTTAACCGTATCATCATCTCATCGCCAGTTTTTTCTCGATCAGCTTAAACGACGAGAATTTCCTTTTCGATTTGGAGACGCTTAGCATTCAGAACATTGATCTAGAAAAACATTAGACATTTTAAAAATCAATGATTGGTAATTTGTTTTTACCTCTATGAACAGCCTAGGTCGACCGTTACGAATTTCGTATATGGTCGTATTTCTCTGTATTACCTAAGGCCGTATTAAGACCGTATAACCGCGATCTGCCGTTGGATAAAAATATGTTAAAAAAATAATTGTATTGACTGTTCATATATGTTTACACACAATAATCTAAAATATAAAATCAATCAAATAAAAAATACACTTGAGAGTGTGTGTATGAGTATTAATGGGAAGAATACAAACACCCACACCCAACCTCAAGATGGAAAGAAAATCAGTATTATTTAATAACGACATCTCAATTTTCGATATCTTAAATGATCGACATTTTTTCTCATTCGACTTTTTTTCTTTCGGCGTTTTCATAGTAAATCGTCGATTACATGATCATGAAACAGAAAGACTAAAAACATAAGAAACCATTGAATTTGGATTCGATCAAGATATTGTCGGTGCAAGAGCAATTCAAAATAAACTTTCGAATGTATTTGACAATAAGATGGATATATGTACAATGTTTCTCTATTAAGAAGGTAACAGTTTTCTTCAAGTATCTTTTTCTTTTGCTTTTCAAACAATTATTTGAAAATCTTATCCACATGGATTAGTCTTATCATTAAATGATAACAATAGTTAACATTATGGTTTTGTTATAAATTATTGATTCAAATATTATATTACATAAACAATCATATCAGTAATGACTATATAAGATAATAAAAACAAAAAAAAAGAGAAGTTTGTTATTATTTATTCAAATAATTAATTGATGGTTATATTACGCACTCATTTAACCAATTAAAAATAAAATAGAGTTGTTAGAATAGTTCGCTCTGCTCCGATTATTTTATATTCTATTTTCATCAAATATAATATGACAAAACACATTTCTATTATGTGTGCGCACTTTAAGTATGTGAGAACTTTAAGTGTGCGCGCACTTTTATAGTAGTGAGAG